GAATTTTATAATTTGATCACTTTTTTTGACACATGTGTTTACCATGGGAAAGTTGGATTTCTTAAATGTACGTAGTTGTTTAGACTAGTTGGATCCATAGTTATCCTGTAATGTATACTCTTGTGAAACACCAATAAGCATATGTAGTGTGTCTTCTTTAACCTCTATTCTTGTTCTCCAGTTCATCATCTATCCATATTTGTTCTTTTTTAGTTCTCAGCTCAACGCAACCCTTGTCTGAAGTTCCTAAAGCCTTGATCTACCCAAGAAAGATCTCTGGTGGTAACATGTTAGGTATGGCTAGTGGTTGGTCATCGTCATTGAGCCTTGTGACACTAGTTCAGTAGACGTTAATTGTCCTGAAGACGTTGAGGAGGTTGCTAGTAAAGCGTCGCCTAAACCAGAAGTTAGTTTTCATGGTATGCTAACGGATTACGCAAACGTTGTTAGGAAGAAGTTCACATCAAATGGTTATGGTCTCGTTCCATCGTCTTCTGAGAAGGTTTCATGTTCATCCTGTATCTTTCACCAATGTTACAAATACTTAGTTTTTATGCTTTTGAAATTGTCGTTTTATGACTATTATTTTAGAGCATAGACATTGAAGAATCTTGTGGTAGTACAGGTATTTTCAACATTTTTTTGTTGAAAAATTCTCTAGTTTCAATTCTTCGAAATTTCTCATCTTAATTATCACCTTTACTTTAGAATCCTTTCGATACGAGAAATCGTCGGGATTTGAGGTACTTTATACGATATATTGAATTTAAGTTTTATAGCGTTAATAACTCTCATCTGTCCATCGTAACTTTGCTATAATTCTATGGATAAATTATGTTTTTATATATAACAGATTATTGATGATCCTACTTCACCTGAAGGTGTTCAGCAAGAACGACGTATGAAGTTACTGTCGTTAATTAACAATATAGCCCTTGATAAAGGGTTGGATGGACAAAATTATAAATGTCATGGTTGTTCCAGACCAATTGGAATGAGTATGATCAATGAATTCTTGACTTGTTATTTCCTAATAACTCAAATATATTTATTTTCAAATTTCTTAGCTTAATAAATGTTATCTTTGTAGAAACTATTATAACAAAGTACATAATCCCTTTTTTCCGTGAAGCCCATGGATGCGTTCGTTCATGATGAAAGAGTCATATTGTATAAGGAGGCTCTCGTTCATCACGAGAGTTATGAGAAAGTTACGTTGTAAAGGTAATAAGTAAAAACGTATAAACATGCTTAGTGTTTGTTTAAGTTATAGTTCAAAAGGCAGAAGTTGTTTGAACCTTTGAAGTATCCTTGGACGTTCTAGTTTTTTATGAGAAGAATTCTTGTAAAGAAAAGATAAATTTTGAAAACCAAAGAATCCGTTTTCGGTCCATGCCTCCAGATACCCCGAGATAGTTGAGCACTAGAGCGTCGCATGTTAACTAAGGGAACCACATAATCCTTGTTTGTTTTCCATGAAACATATGGATGGTTTGCTCGTGATACATGAGAAACAGTAAATGGGAGAGTTAAATAAGAAAGATATAAACCGATAAAATTGGTATAAAACTTGTTTAAGGTTGTCTTAAACTACATCCAACTTTCCATGGTAAACACATGTGTCAAAAAGTGATCAAATTACAAAATTCGTGCAATCAAATAGTCGGACATGGTATTGTATTTGTAGAAGAGAGCCAATAAAATAAAAGATTCTCTTGAGGCATTTGTAAATATTAGTTTAGAAATACAGATCGACTAATTATAAAGGCAGAAGATGTAAGAGTGAATAAAAACCATTTCATGTCAAATCAAAGGAAAGCTTGGATATGACATGCAATATGCAGGTATAAAGTTGTAGAGAAAATAAAAACATTTTTAACGTTGTCACGGATATTACGAGTGCCGTAACAAAGTGTTGATGAGTTTCACATGCATTTGTAAAACAAGCAAGTAGACAAAAGCATGCCAAAATATATAATGAAAAACTTGCTCAGCGCATGTACAAGCACCAATTTCAGAGCTCGCTCTGTCACAAATTAATTGAGAATCTGAGCATGCGTTGTCAACTCACACTCTCCAAGCTCATGGTAACGACCAACTGGATGTACTACTACCGATTTTGAAGTAATTAGCTCAGTCACTCGTTTTAAGACAAATCATCTGCGCATGCGCAGTCTTATTGAGCATGCGCAATTAACTTGACCAGCTAGTTCGTGGTCATGGCAACGACCAACTGCATCTACTAGCACCAATTTTGAAGTAAATAGCAGGCTTAGTAACATTCAATAGAAATCGTCTGCATGTGCTCGAGCATGCGCAGTCCACTCAGTAATTGTTCATAGTCATGACAACGACCATCTATATGTACTTGCACTACATTTGTGTCAATTAACTCACTTAGTCGCAAATTATCGAAGAAACTATCTGGGCATGCGCAATAACGAAAAGTAACCATGAAAAGTAACTTCTGGTTTAGGCGACGCTTTATTAGCAACCTCCTCAACGTCTTCAGGACAATTAACGTCTACTGAACTAGTGTCACAAGGCTCAATGACGATGACCAACCACTAGCCATACCTAACATGTTACCACCAGAGATCTTTCTTGGGTAGGTCAAGGCTTTAGGAACTTCAGACAAGGGTTGCGTTGAGCTGAGAACTAAAAAAGAACAAATATGGATAGATGATGAAGTGGAGAACAAGAATAGAGGTTAAAGAAGACACACTACGTATGCTCATTGGTGTTTCACAAGAGTATACATTACAGGATAACTATGGATCCAACTAGTCTAAACAACTACGTACATTTAAGCAATCCAACATTTGTAAAAACAAGCTTAAGTAGACAAAAAGCATGCCAAAAATATATAATGAAAAACTTGCTCAGCGCATTTTCAAGCACCAATTTCAGAGCTCGCTCTGTCACAAATTAATTGAGAATCTGAGCATGCGTTGTCAACTCCACAAACTTTCCAAGCTCATGGTAATTAATTAATTAATTAATTAATTAATAATGGACTCCGTCGATTTCGACATATGAGGGTTCCACAAAGTGGAACATCCTGGTTACTTAAATTATAGTGAAGGCAGCTAACCAGACTACAATCACTCGTACCTTTCACGCAACTACAACGCTGATATCAGCGTGACACATTTGTGACAAGGCTACAACATTGCAGATGCAGATACAGTCCATCCGAGGACATAGTTTCCTCTACCAACATGGCTTTGGTCAACCCGGCTAGGTTTACAGACACATTGCCAGATGTGCCACGAGCCAGGATTGAACCCGCGCCGTCTGGCTTGCAACTCACGCAATTAACCATTCAGCCACCCGCCCCGTCCCAACGGTAACGACCAATGGTAACGACCCCGTCCCAATGGTAACGACCAACTGGATGTACTAGTACCGATTTTGGAGTAATTAGCTCGCTCAGTCACACGTTTTAAGACAAATCATCTGCGCATGCGCAAACTTATTGAGCATGCGCAATCAACTTGACCAGCTACCCAAGTTCGTGGTCATGGCAACGACCAACTGCATCTACTAGCACCAATTTTGAAGTAAATAGCATGCTTAGTAACAATTTAATAGAGAAATCGTCTGCGCATGCGCTCGAGCATGCGCAGTCCACTCGAGTAATTGTTCATAGTCATGACAACGACCAACTATATGTACTTGCACTACATTTGTGTCAATTAACTCACTTAGTCGCAAATTATCGAAGAAACTATCTGGGCATGCGCAGTAACGATAACAATCATCCCACAACTTTCGTAGGCCTTTAAATTTTGGTATATATATATAAAGCTAAAACTTCATATAGTAGATGTCAAGTAGCAGTGGAAGCTGGGTGCGATATAGTATGCAGTGGCTTAGGGGCCCTCACTTCGGTGGTGGCGACCGCACTCTCCCTGCGTACCCTGAGCAAAGCCTATCGCAGGTGATCTCAGGGTCTGATGGGCGGAAGCTTGCTATTGGCATCTCCCAAGTAGGATAGCGTGGAGGGGCCGAAATCTCCTACCGAAACGTTAACATGCGGCGTTCTAGTGCCTTGCGCTTAAGAAGGTATCGGGAAGCATGGACCGAAAACGGGGTTTTTTGCTTTCGAATTTTATCTTTTTGTTTTCTTCTCATAAAACAAACCAAGCAATGTTTCAATTAACTTCTTACGACCCTGTCTTTTTCTCACACTTATAATTAAAGACAACCTTAAACAAGTTTTATACCAATTTTATCGGTTTATATCTTTCTGATTTAACTCTCCCATTTACTGTTTCTCATGTATCACGAGCAAACCATCCATATGTTTCATGGAAAACAAACAAGGATTATGTGGTTCCCTTAGTTAACATGCGACGCTCTAGTGCTCAACTATCTCGGGGTATCTGGAGGCATGGACCGAAAACAGGATTCTTTGGTTTTCAAAATTTATCTTTTCTTTACAAGAATTCTTCTCATAAAAAACTAGAACGTCCAAGGATACTTCAAAGGTTCAAACAACTTCTGCCTTTTTGAACTATAACTTAAACAAACACTAAGCATGTTTATACGTTTTTTACTTATTACCTTTTACAACGTAACTTTCTCATAACTCTCTCGTGATGAGCGAGAGCCTCCTCATACAATATGACTCTTTCATCATGAACGAACGCATCCATGGGCTTCACGGAAAAAAGGGATTATGTACTTTGTTATAATAGTTTCTACAAAGAAACTATTATAACAAAGTACATAATCCCATTTATTAAGCTAAGAAATTTGAAAATAAATATATTTGAGTTATTACGAAATAACAAGTTAAGAATTCATTGATCATACTTATTCCAATTGGTCTGGAACAACCATGACATTTATAATTTTGACCATCCACCCCTTTATCAAGGGCTATATTATTAATTTACGACAGTAACTTCATACGTCGTTCTTGCTGAACACCTTCAGGTGAAGTCGGATCATCAATAATCTGTTATATATAAAACATAATTGATCTATAGAATTATAGCAAAGTTACGATGGACAGATGAGAGTTATTAACGCTATAAAACTTAAATTCATTTTTAGTTCGTATTATATTTGTGTCATCTGCTCCATCTCACTAATGTTACTTATATGAACTGGAATTCTCAGCAGAAGATCGCATGTTGATGTTGTGGGGCGACATTTACAATTTTCTTTGCAATCATGTACAAACGTTACGGAAAATTTTTTTGGAAAACCCAGAACTGGAATAGTCTTACATCCCGATAACCACTTCAGAAACGCTGATATGGATACGTCTCCTGTTAAAAACATTTAAGACTGAAAAATGAATAAACAAACTAATCAAGGTATCCATTTTTTGTTTTTATACCACAACTTCAGATTAGAAAACATCACTTCAATAAATTTTACGCGTTATTTGATACTTTCAAAAAATTCCATCGTAAATACAATAATACAATTTGGCACCCAATTTACAACATATATATTCAAACTAACCTTCAGTATCTAGGGTTTGCACATAGTCGCAAAATATCTTGTACACGTCAACCTCCTTTTCCTTGTGAATCTGCGAACTGCTGAATGTTGGAATAATTTCATTGAGGAAAGTATCAGCAGAAAGTTTAAACGAATCGTTATAAGGATCGAACAATGGCTTCCACAACTCTGGATTTTCTATCATATAATTTATAAGACCACAACTGCTGAGGCCTTCAAGCAATTGCATAATTTGAGGAAGAACTGATGAAAAGTGGCCCATTACGCAAATTGACCTTTAAAAATAGAAATAAATCTTAGACTTTATAAACCAGCAGCACAAGAATAGTTTTTTTAATCTCCATTAACTTTCAAAATGTACTTACTGAGCAATTTTGGAAACAGTATGCACTGTCTCTTTATGTGGTACACCAGTGTATCCAGCCTCTGATAGCATTTCAATCATATCATCGCTGACAAGTATCTCCCTCAACATTTCATCGTCACAAGCTTGCTTTATCTTTGAAAAGGAGAAGTGTAAAGTAATCATTACTGACATCAGAGAATATAATAAAATAGACTTATTTCAAAATCATGCCACAGCAAGGAGTAATAATCAAGCATATGGTAATCTCCATCTTGTTGCGGCATACCTTTTTAACAGCTTTTTTGTACTTGGAGTCGGGCATTCCTTCTGTTGTGAGTGCCTGTTTGGTGATGTACTTGTAAACATCTGGACTTATAAAAGATGAAGCTGGTCCTTGAAGTAATGACATCACCATGACCTCGCCAAAGCGAAAGTCTCCATTCATGATGGCGACAGTTGAATTAATAGGTTTTCCATTACAGAACAGTCTTCTTTCCATATGCTCCAACATTTCTGATGAAAGAATTAACATCTAATCATATTTTTCAATTGTCCCCATCCTATATTTAAACCAAACTTGTCAACATTGATTGATGCATGATAGACAAATTATGGGAAATAAGCTGCAAAGGGAATTGAAGTGTAGCAGAACAATATATTTATTTTAAATCAACAGGGTGCTCATATTAACCCTAGAAACATATGTCTTACAATATTAGTACCTGAAAAACTCTCTCTTTGGCCCCGTCATCAATTGCACACTCTCCAACAAACACTATCTTTACACTGTCAGTTGGTGACACTTTACCACTTGATCTATACTCAATGAAGTCACACCATATATTTTTTCTAACATTTAATCTTACTGCCTTTGGTGACAATGTTACAGCTTTAATATCCAATAACTTATCTTTCACATTTGTAGTGTTATCTTGGTTTATCACCACATAAGGATTTTCTTCGGGAATGTTCTTTTCACTATCCGTATTTTGAGATTGAAGTGCTCCCACCCATATGTCACAACATATATCTGCATGCTCTGCTATTTCATCTATTGAAAAGTATTGTTGACATGTTGGGCACTCACATTTGAGCTCCTTGCTACGTGATACATAGTTACTTGCACTTTGGGAGTTATATATGGGAGGTGTATTCATTGGGAGATTTGTAGCAATATGCAAGCTAGTTGATGGCTCACATGGACTTGAAGATGGACAAGGTGAGAGTTCAATTCAATTGTATCATCAGTTTCTAAAAACATCTCATCAGAAAGATCTGCGATTGTCTCTGGTTCACTATCATCACAACTTCTTTTTAATTTTGAAATCTCTGTGTACATATATGCAGATTTTAGTGCAATGAAAAGTGTTAAGCGATTATAATTCTTCGCTATATCTTCCCTGTATTCGCTTAAACATCAGGGGAAGATTACATTACAACTCGCCATGGATGTTATTGTCGTGGTTAGCATGTTTTCTAACTGCTTTTCTAAGATTTCTCTCTTTTCGCACTTGGCAAAACTTTTACAGGAGAGTTTTACCCCGACATCTTTTCAAATTTCCGTCATTATCGACCTTCATGTAACCAATATTTATGCTTACTTCATGCTCCTTATCTTTTCCTTTACCAGAATTTGCTTTGAGTTTCTTGGTCTTTGGCTCGAGTCTGCTGCGCCTATCGCTTTCCTTCTGGCGCTTGAAATCGTAAAAACTTAACGTTTTAGGCGGCTGGGTTGTACCAGTAAGGGTACCGCTAGCACATAATACTGAGATCCCACTAGTTATAGAATTCGACGTAGAACATGTGTTTGCAGATTCTTCAAGTTTTTCGCGCATCGGTGCGAAGGAGTTGCCACATTTATAACAGTAATTCGCATTTTCCACACTTTCTATACCACAGTTTGAACAAAACATTTTTTGCTATCCATCAAGCAATATATTGAATATAATTTATAATAAGTCTGGTTTTCGTGGAACAAATTTAAACAAGCGCCATTTTGCAAAATATCACAACAATGTTTCCACTTCACAAAAAGAATTTCCAGTATTTCATATTTTACTTGCGTTGTGATTATATTTACTTGTGTTGTGATTATATTTACTTGCGTTGTGATTATTTTACTTGCGTTGTGATTATATTTACTTGTGTTGTGACTATATTTAATTGTGTTGTGACTTTATTTACTTGCGTTGTGATTATTTTACTTGTGTTGTGATTTTATTTACTTGCGTTGTGACTTTATTTACTTGCGTTGTGATTATTTTACTTGTGTTGTGATTACATTTACTTGTGTTGTGACTTTTTTTAAGTGATGGCCCTTATGGGCCACCGTACATTCCCTCCAGGTCTTCTAGAACTCAATGGGTTTGGTTTGACATGATCTAACAACGCCAGCGGTGAAATAATAGTCCAGTTCAATGGTCGGTCAGTGTACAGTCCTTCCTCCGCGAAGCTGGAGTGGCAAGAGATCAATCAAACCATGTCTATGACTTCATGACATTTGAACGAGAACGATTTTTCTTTGCATGTTTGATGCATGCGAGACTTTGCATACAGTGATATGTAGCTTAAAAAATGGCGTATTCTCTATTTAAAGTAAGGGTTACATAAAGAAGAGCGCCATGACCGCTCCAACGTCTGCGGGAGAACGGCTCATTGACTATTTCGTTGTTTGCGGACTTGACAATGTGTCCGGCTTGGAACCCGACCAGCTATTAGGTATGATACTTTACGACGGTTTTCTCTAAAACGGTCGAAGTTAGAGTCATTTTAACACGTGTGTGTGTGTGATAATCTTATTTAACATTTGAAATGAGAATGCTACTTTGTAGTTATTGTATAGAAAACGTATCGCTGCCGACCAAAATTGTCAACATGTTGAAATGTGCGACTTGAACAGCTGTGCACATAGATTGACGAGTTTACGTATTTCCGTATACAAATTCTTGTAATCAAAGTTCATTACAGTTTTGTTTAATGACTGACTAATCATTCGAGAGGTTTTATTTCAATTTAAACTTACCCTTCAAAGCAACAATTTATTGCGTTTTGACACGCGATGTTTATCGTATCTTTTACTTGCTTAGGCTAAGATTATGAATTCATGATAAAGATCGCGCTCTTTGATGCGACGTTTGCTCGCTGCGACTTCGTGCTGACATTCACAAATGCGCGAATGAAAGTCTTTTATACAATTTTTGTTTACGAAGGGTTGTTAATTAACAAATGGTGTTTGTTGTTGGTTGCATGGATTGTGAAATTTGATGGTGATTTTTTGCATGTTGTGTCGATCTCATATTACTGTTGTTTCATTATTACCATTTGTAATATGTGAAGGTTGAAGATGTTAAGTTTACATTTTATGTATTCCAAGATTATTATGTGCAAGCTATTTATATCAGATTGTGTTCGGACAACAGCCAATTCAATTTCAAGATGCATTGGTTGCCAAGCACTCTTCACAGTTTGACAGCACGATGTTCCATATAATGGTTTAGGTAAAGGCTAAGGTTAGGGTTGGGAGCTATGGTCAAAGTTAGGCTTACAATTAAATTAGGGGTTGAATAGGGGCTGAGTTGTTTGGACCAAGTTATTGAATACAGTTGAATACAGTAATTGACTACTTTCAGGTTATTACAGTGGCTGTTTTGAGATCCAAGCTGTTGAAGTTATTGTAGTCATTGAAGTTGTTGTACTCATTTTTTTTAACATCTTATATGTAAAATATTATAACATTTAATTTCTCCTTCATACTTGATGTAGTTGCTTTGTTTAAAGCATATATGATTTTTGCCAATTTTTTGTGTTGACAGGTGTGGTTATTTGAGATTTTTTTGTTTTGACAATTGGATGCATTAAGTATTCTCATTGGAAATTGACTGTTAAAATATTCTGACTGTTGGGACACTTATTCATTTATTTGATGATACAAGTTTTGCCTACATAATTTAATTCAATTACCTTCATCATCATCATCATCAGCCGTTCACGCCACTGCTGGCAGATGGCCTCCACAACTTCTTCCACTCGATTCGGTCTTTAGCTCTCCTCATCCAGGTCTTTCTAGTTTCCTCTTCGATCTCGTCTCTCCATCTTCTCTTTGGCTTTCCTCTTCCTCTGGTGCAGTTTCTTGGGTACCATTCTGTTGTCAATTTGGCCCATCTGTTGTTTTCCATTCTTGCCACATGGCCTGCCCATCTGCCTTTCATTTCTTTTGCTGTTTGGATGACATCTTTCACCCTGGTTCTCTCTCTCTGATTACTTCATTCCTGATCTTGTCTTTTAGCCTGATATTTAGTATGCTCCTCTCCATGCTCCTTTGTGTGACTGCCAGCTTCCTTGATTGGTGTTTTGTAAGCGCCCATGTTTCTGCTCCGTATGTCATAGATGGTAAAATGACAGTGTCCATTATTTTCCTCTTCAAACTGTTTGGGATGTTCTTCTCCTTTAGAAAGTGACTGTATTGCCCGAATCTTCTCCATCCGACATTGATTCTTTGATTGACCTCAACACTGATTTCATTTCTTGGTGTTAACATTTTTCCAAGGTATTTGTACTCCTCCACCTCCTCCAACTTCTCTCCGTCAACTCTGATCACTCTTCTTTGCTTCCTCCTTGCGATGTCATTGCACATGATCTTGTTTTTTTTCTTATTCATTTTCATACCATCTTTCTTTCCTTCTTCATTCAGTTTCGTCAAAAGTTCTTGGAGATCTTCCTCTTTGTTTGCAAACAAGATGATGTCATCTGCGAATCTTAAGTTGTTCATTACTCTTTTTCCAATGGTATTCTTTTGAAGATCTCTTCAATGGCAGCAGTGAACATGATAGGTGACAGTGTATCTCCTTGGCGGACACCTTTCTTTATCTTGATCTTTTCGCTCAGCTTTTCTGTTCTTATTTGTGCTGTGCCTTCTCTGTATGTTTCCTTTATGCTGTTTATGATCTTTCCTGGTACTCCGTGTTTCGCAAGTGATTGGAATACTGGGGCATGCTTGATGGAATCGAATGCCTTTTCGTAATCTACAAATGCCATGAACAGTGGTTGTTGGTACTCGTTGGTTTTCTCGAGTATTTGTCCTGTAGCATGCAGGTGGTCTGCAGTGGAGAATCCTTTCCTGTATGCTGCTTGCTCTGGGGGTTGATGTTCATCCAGAGTGCCACTGATTCTGTTCTTGATGATTTTCATGAACAACTTGTAGATGTGGGATAGCAAACTGATGGGGCGGTAGTTTGCAAGATCTTTCTTGTCTCCCTTCTTGAAGAGTAGAATAATGATGGCGTTCTTCCACTCTTTTGGCACTTTTCCGTCTCAATGGCTTTGTTGTAAAGATGCTGAAGTTTTTCCATTAGGATGTCACCTCCGGCCTTTATCATCTCTATCACCACAAGATCTTCACCGGGTGATTTTCCGTTTTCATCTGATGGATTGCCTTCTCCACTTCACATTTCATGATTACTGGAGTCTCTTCTGCTGGTCTCAACTGAATGTTTTGGGAGTGATCTTCGTACAGTGCCTGATAGAATTCTGCACATCTCTCGAGGATTCTTTTTCTGTCTGTTATTACCTTTCCATCCTTCTCCTTCAGTGCTTGAATCAGAGCCTTCTTTCCATCTCCTGTTGTGCTCTTTTTCAACCCTTTGCCACTTTCAACTGCTTCTCTGATTCTCTTGGTGTTTGCTTCTCTCAGATTTTGTCTTGTTTTCTTCCTGATTGTCTTGCACAGTTCAACATAACCTTTGCCGACTCCGACTTAACACACATAATTTAATGTAAAGTACATATTATTATTACATCTAAAACAATTATTTATTTGTTAAATCATTTTTATGCTAAATGAACTTTCCTTCTTTCCTCAACATTCTCCTGCAAGTCAAACAATGACATTAACATTGGTTGCTTTCATAGCTAGAAATGGGAAAAAATATGACCTGTTGGGCCCGGAAGAGTGAACTTTTTCTTCCCAATTCTTTTTGACTGATGTTTTATGTTTTTTAATAGTACTAGAAAGCAATAACTTAACAATTTTATTTGAAGTAAAGGGCAACTCAACTGAGCAAGCCATATGCAGTGTCAACAATTTTGCTCAAACAGCTAAAAGATTTTCCATTTTGTGTTTCTTCATGTTGCAATATTGCAAAATGTCAAGAGTGTTTATATCCTTACATTTCATAAATTCAAGTATTTCTTTGGTTTTATTTGTAGGTGATTCACATCACGTTCCACCCCTTGAAAGGTCTTATCGGGCAAAGACATTAGCTCATTATCCTGATCATGTCCCCTGGAATCCATTTGATGAACATGCAGTTTGCATGGTATGATTTATGCTTGGTTGGAAACAACCAATTTTTCATAAAAGAAACCTTGTTACTTTGCTGAAGGGGGACTGAGCTTGAGAAGCTGAGGGTCTGAGCAAGGGAAGCATTTAGCCATTATATTGTTTATTTAAAACGAGACTCTGTTTTGTAAATTGTTGTGACTCTAGCAACATCTGTGTGTGTCATAAGGGAGAAAGTTTTCTTCAAACCTATGCGTCACGTGTGCATGCATTGTGAAATTTCACCACTTAAACTTAAGACTTTGTTATAAGTTTGAGCATTGATGTCAGAAAGCAGTAACATAACGAATCTGTAAGATTAGGAAGCCGTGATATTACGTACAAAGTTGTAACTTTAGAGCGTTGTATCTTGCATTGAGAAGCCGTAAAACTTGTAATCTGTTTCGTGAGAAATCTTCAACGCGAGAAAGTTGTAACGTTTGAATCGAAATCGTAATGTTGGGAAGGCGTAACTTAAGGAAGGCATCACATTAGAAAGTCGTAACTTTCGAAACCTCTGACATTAGAAAATCGTTGTCTAACATTCAGAATTTCGGTTTCAAAAGAAAACAAGGATGAAACATTTTAATATATTTTATGGCCCATGAATTGATTTAAGCATTTTGCAGGGGCTTAAATTGTCATAAACGTACCAAGTTTCATAATTTTGTTATACTTCCAAGTGACAGCGCCTTTATTTATTTATTTTGTTGAAAAATTCTCTAGTTTCAATTCTTCGAAATTTCTCATCTTAATTATCACCTTTACTTTAGAATCCTTTCGATACGAGAAATCGTCGGGATTTGAGGTACTTTATACGATATATTGAATTTAAGTTTTATAGCGTTAATAACTCTCATCTGTCCATCGTAACTTTGCTATAATTCTATGGATAAATTATGTTTTATATATAACAGATTATTGATGATCCTACTTCACCTGAAGGTGTTCAGCAAGAACGACGTATGAAGTTACTGTCGTTAATTAATAATATAGCCCTTGATAAAGGGTGGATGGTCAAAATTATAAATGTCATGGTTGTTCCAGACCAATTGGAATGAGTATGATCAATGAATTCTTGACTTGTTATTTCCTAATAACTCAAATATATTTATTTTCAAATTTCTTAGCTTAATAAATGTTATCTTTGTAGAAACTATTATAACAAAGTACATAATCCCTTTTTCCCGTGAAGCCCATGGATGCGTTCGTTCATGATGAAAGAGTCATATTGTATAAGGATGCTCTCGTTCATCACGAGAGAGATAGAAAGTTACGTTGTAAAAGGTAATAAGTAAAAACGTATAAACATGCTTAGTGTTTGTTTAAGTTATAGTTCAAAAGGCAGAAGTTGTTTGAACCTTTGAAGTATCCTTGGACGTTCTAGTTTTTTATGAGAAGAATTCTTGTAAAGAAAAGATAAATTTTGAAAACCAAAGAATCCGTTTTCGGTCCATGCCTCCAGATACCCCGAGATAGTTGAGCACTAGAGCGTCGCATGTTAACTAAGGGAACCACATAATCCTTGTTTGTTTTCCATGAAACATATGGATGGTTTGCTCGTGATACATGAGAAACAGTAAATGGGAGAGTTAAATCAGAAAGATATAAACCGATAAAATTGGTATAAAACTTGTTTAAGGTTGTCTTTAATTATAAGTGTCAGAAAAAGACAGGGTCGTAAGAAGTTAATTGAAACATTGCTTGCTTTGTTTTATGAGAAAAAAACAAAAAGATAAAATTCGAAAGCAAAAAACCCCGTTTTCGGTCCATGCTTCCCGATACCTTCTTAAGCGCAAGGCACTAGAACGCCGCATGTTAACGTTTCGGTAGGAGATTTCGGCCCCTCCACGCTGTCCTACTTGGGAGATGCCAATAGCAAGCTTCCGCCCATCAGACCCTGAGATCACCTGCGATAGGCTTTGCTCAGGATACGCAGGGAGAGTGCGGCCGCCACCACCGAAGTGAGGGCCCCTAAGCCACTGCATACTATATCGCACCCAGCTTCCACTGCTACTTGACATCTACTATATGGAGTTTTAGCTTTATATATATATACCAAAATTTAAAGGCCTACGAAAGCTGTGGGATGATTGTTATCGTTACTGCGCATGCCCAGATAGTTTCTTCGATAATTTGCGACTAAGTGAGTTAATTGACACAAATGTGGTGCAAGTACATATAGGTGGTCGTTGTCATGACTATGAACAATTACTCGAGTGGACTGCGCTTGCTCGAGCGCTTGCGCAGACGATTTCTCTATTAAATTGTTACTAAGCATGCTATTTACTTCAAAATTGGTACTAGTAGATGCAGTTGGTCGTTGCCATGACCACGAACTTGGGTAGCTGGTCAAGTTGATTGCGCATGCTCAAAACGACTGCGCATGCGCAGATGATTTGTCTTAAAACGTGTGACTGAGCGAGCTAATTACACCAAAATCGGTACTAGTACATCCAGTTGGTCGTTACCATGAGCTTGGAGAGTTTGTGGAGTTGACAACGCATGCTCAGATTCTCAATTAATTTGTGACAGAGCGAGCTCTGAAATTGGTGCTTGTAGATGCGCTGAGCAAGTTTTCCATCATATATTTTGGCATGCTTTTGTCTACTTAAGCTTGTTTTACAAATGCATGTGAAACTCGTCAACACTTTGTTACGGCACTCGTAATATCCGTGACAACGTTAAAATGTTTTTATTTTCTCTACAACTTTATACCTGCATATTGCATGTCATATCCAAGCTTTCCTTTGATTTGACGGGAAATGGTTTTTATTCACTCTTACATCTTCTGCCTTTATAATTAGTCGATCTGTATTTCTAAACTAATATTTACAAATGCCTCAAGAGAATCTTTTTATTTTATTGGCTCTCTTCTACAAATACAATACCATGTCCGACTATTTGATTGCACGAATTTTGTAATTTGATCACTTTTTTTGACACATGTGTTTACCATGGGAAAGTTGGATTTCTTAAATGTACGTAGTTGTTTAGACTAGTTGGATCCATAGTTATCCTGTAATGTATACTCTTGTGAAACACCAATGAGCATATGTAGTGTGTCTTCTTTAACCTCTATTCTTGTTCTCCACTTCATCATCTATCCATATTTGTTCTTTTTTAGTTCTCAGCTCAACGAAACCCTTGTCTGAAGTTCCTAAAGCCTTGATCTACCCAAGAAAGATCTCTGGTGGTAACATGTTAGGTATGGCTAGTGGTTGGTCATCGTCATTGAGCCTTGTGACACTAGTTCAGTAGACGTTAATTGTCCTGAAGACGTTGAGGAGGTTGCTAGTAAAGCGTCGCCTAAACCAGAAGTTAGTTTTCATGGTATGCTAACGGATTACGCAAACGTTGTTAGGAAGAAGTTCACATCAAATGGTTATGGTCTCGTTCCATCGTCTTCTGAGAAGGTTTCATGTTCATCCTGTATCTTTCACCAATGTTACAAATACTTAGTTTTTTTATGCTTTTTGAAATTGTCGTTTTTATGACTATTATTTTAGAGCATAGACATTGAAGAATCTTGTGGTAGTACAGGTATTTTCAACATTTTTTTGTTGAAAAATTCTCTAGTTTCAATTCTTCGAAATTTCTCATCTTAATTATCACCTTTACTTTAGAATCCTTTCGATACGAGAAATCGTCGGGATTTGAGGTACTTTATACGATATATTGAATTTAAGTTTTATAGCGTTAATAACTCTCATCTGTCCATCGTAACTTTGCTATAATTCTATGGATAAATTATGTTTTATATATAACAGATTATTGATGATCCTACTTCACCTGAAGGTGTTCAGCAAGAACGACGTATGAAGTTACTGTCGTTAATTAACAATATAGCCCTTGATAAAGGGTTGGATGGACAAAATTATAAATGTCATGGTTGTTCCAGACCAATTGGAATGAGTATGATCAATGAATTCTTGACTTGTTATTTCCTAATAACTCAAATATATTTATTTTCAAATTTCTTAGCTTAATAAATGTTATCTTTGTAGAAACTATTATAACAAAGTACATAATCCCTTTTTTCCGTGAAGCCCATGGATGCGTTCGTTCATGATGAAAGAGTCATATTGTAAGGAGGCTCTCGTTCATCACGAGAGTTATGAGAAAGTTACGTTGTAAAGGTAATAAGTAAAAACGTATAAACATGCTTAGTGTTTGTTTAAGTTATAGTTCAAAAGGCAGAAGTTGTTTGAACCTTTGAAGTATCCTTGGACGTTCTAGTTTTTTATGAGAAGAATTCTTGTAAAGAAAAAGATAAATTTTGAAAACCAAAGAATCCGTTTTCGGTCCATGCCTCCAGATACCCGAGATAGTTGAGCACTAGAGCGTCGCATGTTAACTAAGGGAACCACATAATCCTTGTTTGTTTTCCATGAAACATATGGATGGTTTGCTCGTGATACATGAGAAACAGTAAATGGGAGAGTTAAATAAGAAAGATATAAACCGATAAAATTGGTATAAAACTTGTTTAAGGTTGTCTTAAACTACATCCAACTTTCCCATGGTAAACACATGTGTCAAAAAAAGTGATCAAATTACAAAATTCGTGCAATCAAATAGTCGGACATGGTATTGTATTTGTAGAAGAGAGCCAATAAAATAAAAAGATTCTCTTGAGGCATTTGTAAATATTAGTTTAGAAATACAGATCGACTAATTATAAAGGCAGAAGATGTAAGAGTGAATAAAAACCATTTCATGTCAAATCAAAGGAAAGCTTGGATATGACATGCAATATGCATGTATAAAGTTGTAGAAAAAAAAAAACATTTTTAACGTTGTCACGGATATTACGAGTGCCGTAACAAAGTGTTGATGAGTTTCACATGCATTTGTAAGCTTAAGTAGACAAAAAGCATGCCAAAAATATATAATGAAAAACTTGCTCAGCGCATGTACAAGCACCAATTTCAGAGCTCGCTCTGTCACAAATTAATTGAGAATCTGAGCATGCGTTGTCAACTCCACAAACTCTCCAAGCTCATGGTAACGACCAACTGGATGTACTAGTACCGATTTTGAAGTAATTAGCTCGCTCAGTCAC